GGATTATTCCAGTGTGAGCAGCCAGAGGCAGCCCACTTGGCAGGTTTTTGTGGTAACTTTTCCAACAACCTCTTTTATCCAGAAGTAGCAAGCCGCTGAGGACTGGAGCGGCCCGGTCGTAACCAGGCGCTAGCCAGCCTGCGCCTGTCCCTGTGTCCTGTTGGCGAGGAGGAGGAGGAGGGGCGGCTCCAGCCCACTCCGTTCCCATCCCTCCGTGGCTTTGTGCACCCGGCCGTGGCTGCTGCTGCCGCCTCTTCCCTGGGACCGCGTCAGGCACAGCCTGGCTGCCACCCACCCTGGCAGCAACAACCTTCGGGCAGAAAAATGAGGAGAAAAATGCATAATTGCTCGCTAGTGTTAAAACCAGCATATTGACACGACTGTGTTAATTCCTTGATTGCAGCTGCGTTATATCCACAGCTCGTTCTAGGTTGCTTTTTCCTTGGGGATCACCTGCCGTTATTTTGTGTTTAAGTATGTGAGAAGTTTAAAATGTATCCAACACATCAATTTCCAGTTACCTGTATACTTTAAACAAATATATTTTTAAAGCTTGGTTACAAACAGGCCTGATAAAGGAGTGAGGATCTTGCAGGTCAGGTGCATGGAATATTTTTCAGGAATGACAAAAAGGCTTTCTTGGTTTGGGTAGCAGCAGTACAAAACCCCCAAAATGATCAGGAGTAGCCCATGACAGCATCAGCAACTTCTGACAAAATATACCGAGGGCAAGAAAATTGTCCCCTTGGCTCAAAACCAGTTAATGGGATATATCTTTTATATTTACTGCGTTATCAAAATATGCCTATTTATCTTTAAGAGGTACCATTATATCCTAGGTTCACATTTTTCTGTTGGAAATCAACAAATTATGATTTTTTTTTTTCTTCAGTAACTCCTGAATTTTAAACTATTACTGGAATTTTATTGTTGTTCAAACTGTAGTGATATTCCCTAATCCCCGCAAACTCCTTACAGCCTTTTAGCTCCAACAACAGTTAGCTCCGTAATAGAAAGTCAGTTCCTTTTTCATAGCAGTTCACTCCTTGCTAATTCCATGCTTTACAGTAGCAAATTGACCTTTAAAAGTACTGCTGGCTAGTGAGCTTTAAGGAATATTGTGGAGAATATGAAGGTCTCTGTAGTTATGCTTTAATTTTTGTTTTTTTCCTTCATTCAATAAGAATACAAGTCCCTTATTTTTTAAAAAAAAGGGAGACAGCAAAAAAGCCTATTATATTCAATAAATCATATTTCAATGACATGCTATTGTTTATGTGTGCCACTCCCTTCTGGTGAATAGAAGTGGAATTACTCCATCTCATGCCATGCCATGGACCCCCAGCTGCAACCAGATTATGGAAATTTTCTTTAACTTTCAGTGACAAGGAATTATCTTTTTTGGAGTTTAACAGTGTGAGCTTTTTTCCTGCTGTTTCTATTAAGGACAAAATGATGCTTCTGGACCGCGTACTGGCAACCAGTCTTCATTGCAAAGTGTACCAAATTTGCTAAATTCAGTCCTCAGCACACATAATGCCCATGTAAATACAGAATTTAAACAGAAAGTAAAAATTGCTGTCAGTATTTCAATGATGCATTTATTCAGTAATTTTAACCCTTCCCTGATAGGTTGATCTTTCCTTAATTAAAGTAATTGATCGATTTGATAGTAGTTCGGTGTGCAAGCCAAGATGAAAATACTGATCCATATATTTTCACACACACTTTTGTTGTGCAGGAGAATGAATATACTAATATGAAACACAGGAAGCCAGTGTAATAAAAAGGAAATGTACATGATGCATGTTCTGACATGTGGAAGCTGACAACATGTCAAGTGTGGGATTTCTCTGGCCAAAGGCAGTCATGTAGCTCAGTAGTCACTCTAGCCTCTCCTTATCCCCCATGGAGAAAAACATGTGCATCATCCCTTAAAGTACAAATCTAAAACAGATCCGATATCTTATGCTCAAAAACTGCTTGTTTCTATTGACTGCAAGTTACAGACATCTCAAGCTTTCGTGAGGTGAATCCTATTTGCTCTATTAATTGGTGGTACTGGTGAATACAACTTTTTCTTCTTTTACATCAACAACCAGGTTAGCCCATTAGAGTTGCACGGGCTATGAAGTTCTCATTCTTAACAAAGTAAGTAGCCTGAACTAAAATCATGTAAGAAAGAGGAGCCTTAAATCAGCACAAAATTTGATCCAGGGGATAAGTTGAAAAAGTTTATAAGAAAAAAGAATGTGGATCCAAAGTTGTTTTTAGTCATGCCTAAGAAATGTAGAGGTATGCCTGAGAATAGCATTTGGTGTATAGAACTTGATATGTTTCCATATCATACTCGTACATGAAAACTGTCATTAAGCATTCATTTATCTGAAACGTGAAGAATGGGAAGTGTGAAGATGGCTGGGAGGCCATGTGCAACACATCTTGCTTGTATTGCTTTTGGGATGATACTGCCTTTCGCAACCCTGCGCTTTTCTGGGAATCAGAGCTGCAGTTCTCCCTTGTTCTTAAAGGATGCACAGGAATATAAAAAGCCTCTTGTTTTGTACCTGCTACTCAAGTTTGTTAGAGTGAGCAGTAACTTGGTTCTAAACTAGAAAAGCGTGGATTATGAAGAATGGAGTGCAGATCAGGAAAGGAAGGGACAAAGGTTTCAACAAATGACCATACTGAGTCCCAGTGCGCAGTGTCTCATTCAAGCAATTTCTAGTATCTGCATTATGAATCTGATAAAAGGAGTGTGCTTTAAAGTTAAGAAAGCAGTCAAAGAACAAATGTTTAAAACCATCTAGTATGATGATATTTTACCTCAATCACTCACTGCATACTCATTGTGACCTAGGTACTGAGCCTTGCCCCGGGTATGTTACTTTTTTCTCATGCTGATTACTGAATTACCATAAGTTCATATAGTTTACTATGTGTCTATACACTGTAATGAAAGAATAGCATGCTTAAATGTGTACTTAGGCATTTGAAGGCTCAACATATTAGGTTGTGTTGTTTGGAACAGATTTATTTTGTGTTCTCCTTGATAAGCACATAGTACACATTCAGTTTATAAATACTGATAAATAATTATAGAAAATCTAAATTTAGTATTCTACTCTGCTGTAAGCATGTAGTAGATAGCAGGGTGTTAAGTAACAGCCAGCGTGAATTTGTCAGGAGCGAATCACATCAAATACTTAATTTTCTTCCTAGGGTAAGGAGATAGGCCTTAGAGAGAGATATCTTGAATTTGAGGGCTTTTTAATACCCTCACATGACAATCTCATAAGCAAACTAGTGAAGATTTCATGGAAAATTATTATCACAACATAGGTAACAGTGGTTTATTGTCAGAAGGGAAGCTGCACATCGGTTTGGGCTCTATGAGTGTCTGTCCTGAAGACGGTACTAAGAATTTGCATTCATGATTTGAATCATGAAGTTTGCATATGTCATCAAGCTCTCGGGGCCTATGACTGCATTAAAGGGCAAGACTATAATTTAAACTGTTCTTGACAGGCTGGAGAAATAAAGAGGATGCACTTCAGAGGCAACAGATGCAAACTATCATGCTTAAGTAGGAACAGTCAGACACAAAACAAGAACATAAGAAATGATAGGCTAGGCACCATTTTGCAGAAATGCACCTGAAGCTTTTGGTGGTTCTTGCATGCCTTGCGTCGGCAATGCCATGCTGTTAGAGGGGAAAGCAAGCATAAGAGATGGGAAACAAGCAGTAATATCATATGTAAGACAAGTAATAATCTTTCTACTTTACTCAGTACTGGTGAGGCTTCAATTAGGTCTCTTGCCCCATCTTGGCTGACACAGTTCACATGTGACATGGAACTGTCTGCAGGGATTCCAGATGAGAACAGCAAGGATGCTCAGATATTTAGAAAATGTGACTGTAAAGACAGAGGGAAATTATTGTTTAGTTTAAGGGAGAAAAAGAATATAATGAGTCTTTAAACATATAAGAGTGATTCAAAGAAGAAAGGAACACATTATTTCCCAGTCCACTGAGATTATGCTTAAATTGCAGGAAGGGGGACATCAGGCTTGACAAAGGGAAACATTTACGGTGTTCCAATGTGACTCATTTTTCTTGTCCAGGGAATGTAAATAGAACATTGACTGGGAAGGTTGTGGAGTCCCCTCTGTGAGTAAGTTTTAAGAACACATTAGACCCTAGATAAACACCTATCAGGAGTGACACAGGTATAGCTGATGTGTCTGAGAAACAGTATGGAGGCCCTGAGGACCATCTCTGTTCTGCGATTTAAAAGTAGATACTGAGATATCATAAAAAAACAAGGTTGGAGGAGGAATTTGGAAGAGAGAAGAGATTCTTGCTAAGGAATGAACACTGGCATAGCACAAATAAGAGCCTCTGCAGAACCTATACAGATTGGGGTTTGAAACTGTGAGGCTCTTTGGATTACTACAGTAATGGGAACTGGGGTCTGAACTTGCACCCATCAAAATTAAAGGCTGCGTTCTTGCTAGCTTCTTAGGGTATAAGAGGAAGCTCTATACATGAGATGAGAGGAAGAGAGTGTGATTTCCCAACTTATTACTTAATGGGGTCTGAAAAACAAAATGTTGTTATTTAGTCCCCTAAAGCATATCTGGTATTCCTGTGGAAATCCACTGGGAATTTTAAGGTTGCTTAGACCACAAAATCGAATGTGTTGTTTGTAAAGGCTAAAGGCACTGGATGAAAGGCAATTTCTTCCTTTTTAACTAAAAGTGTATTTAAAAAAAAAAAGGTAATCCTGTGGCCTCTAGTTAGGCAAAACTCACACTGGGAGTGTGGACCCTAGCCTTTTTTATTGATAGGGAACGTTATACATCATTGCAGCTCCTTAGTTTCTTAATCTGTAACAAGAGGATAAAATTTTGATTTTGTTCGTAGAGCACTTTGAGAACTATGGCTGAGATGTGCTACTACAGAACTGTTATTAAAAATTATCTTTTCTGTTTTCCAGAGAGATCAGTGCTTGCCCAGCCAACATTTGTCTTTGAAAAGAAGGACCGTCCTTTGAAGGTAAAAGCTTAAGCTTTTGTTTTACATAGTTGATAGAAAATACTAAGAAGTGAGGACTCTATAGACAATGATCCTAGTGGCAATAAGAGACTTTTGCCTATGTTAAGACTCATAATAATTGGGATCAAAATAGAACAAGTGAAAATGGAAACTAGGGACAAGACTGCTTTTAATACACATATGTTGGATAGATATACTTTGTGTCCTGCTCTAGAAAATGGCAGATCTATTCTTCCTGACCCTTCAACCCTTCTATTTTTTTCCAGCGTCCTGCAGAAGACCCAGTTTGCAAAGCTGAAAATGGTAATGATCACCTCATTGAAATAGCATAGTAATACCCTGGCTTCTTCATAGGCCTGACCATTGCCTGTGAAAATAGTGTTCAAACCCTCACTTTGTATGAGCCAGGACAAATCCCTGTTAATAGACTACTGGGGTTGTAGAGCCTCCTAACGTTTCCTAGTATGTCTCTGTCTTACCTCCAGAATCTTCCTCCTGTCTCGCCTCTCATATTTATCAGAAAGCCAAATTCCAGAACCCCTGAAAAACAGGCAGGTATATTCATTAGCTGTATTAGCTCCTATCTGCCCTTTTCTATTCGTTCAGGCCACGTTATAATGTAACTTCTTAATGCACTCTGAGCCTGTGCGCCCTGAACTAATTCTAAGTGCTGACTCTTGGTCCCCTGACATTGGTAGAAATAAAGAAGACTCCCTAGGGCTTTGTACCAGCTCTTGACTGAGATTCTAAGGTCCTCTTTCACTCTTAGATTCTGCCTTAAAGCTGTTCCTATAAATCATTCCTAGAATTTATTGCGTTAAAGTTTTAATTCTGTATCACACCATTGTGCTGAAATCTGCTACCAAACTGTTTTGACAGAACGTTATATTTACTTTTCTTTAGATTTCATTAGTTTCTCCAGAAAACGTGCAAGATCATCATCTTTTACTTTTCAGAAGTCTGACTTGCAGTCCAACACAGGTACGCTGTTTAGCTCCATTCACCTTTATCATTACTGTAGTTCTCTGATCTTATCTGGTAAAGAAGAGAAGATATTTTTCCGTCTAGGTAATGTATCTGCCCTGTAGAAATATTCTGAGTCAGGAAAACTTAAACATTGATATTTACTTGTCGGCAATATCCACTAAGTACCACCTTAAGTAAAAATATATGAATTTTCCTTACTTAAGTAATATTGCATAAAATAGTGAAGAATGTGTATATTTAATGTGGTTTCCTGGAACTGTTCACTCAGTCAAGGGAGGAGGGGAGCTGGGAAGGAATGAGATTCCCTGGTTTGTGGAAGAGATCAATGTTCCTTGAAGAATCCATGAAAGTGTAAAGCAATTTTCAGAAAGGCCTCTACTTCCATCCAGCTGCCAGCTGACCTGGAAATCCCTTTAAGGGCAGTATGTTCCTTCCATGATATTCAGGAGAAATACACACAAGTCATTGAAGGCTACTATACAGTAGGAATGATCTGAATCTTATAGTATTTATTTAAGGTAATGATGGGGTTGGAAAGTTACTTCAGAGTTTAGGCCTTAATATATGCAAACTGTATTTTGTTTTACCTAGTCCTGTAGCACACCTAAACATAGCTAAAAGGATATAAGATAACCTAAGTTTGGATTACCTTGAAAATAATACTGAGCTCATATATAAAAATCAGAAATATGGTAGAAATTTTAGAGTATGCTGATACCAAAAAATAAAGCCGGGTTCAGGAGCAAGCTTGAGTGTTAGGCCTCTTGATTGTCCACACTGCTTAACTGCTGGCTCACTCCCTGTCTTGGTTTTGAAGCACTCCAATTGGCTGTCTCCAGGACAGAACCACTATAAAGTAGAGTAGCCGTAAGCAGTGTGGATAAGCTGTGCTGTGCTACTTGGCCGCAGAGATCCCTCTGAATCAGTGGTAAAGGCATAACCTAAGTGTACCTCAAAGCTAGTAGTTAGCAGATAAGAAGTTGATTCTGCTGCCAAGGAAGGCATGACATCAAATTGGCTAACCTCAAAAATCCATCTTTTTTTTGCTCCGAACAAAGGATAATTTCAGTCTCTCTATCCTTTCAGATACAACACTCTCTCAGAAAAGAGGAAGATCATCTTCCTTTACCATCCTTCCTACCTTTCCCCCCTCGCAGACAGGTAATTTAAAAAAAAAAAAAAAAGGGGAACAACAACAACAATAAATATTTATGTAGAAAAGCAAATATTAGGCCAGGGTACATTAATTTACTGATCCTAAAAAAAACACGAGACTGGACCAGATAGCAGTACTGTTTCCATGGCTTTTCCAAAACAGCAGCACCAGCAGCTGAAGTGGAATTTTATGAGATTAAAGCATCTGTTAATACCCAGAAAACTTTTTCTCTGACATAACCCAAAAAACCGTGGTGCTTTCCATGCCTAAATCTCCCCACCTGCAAAATGAAGACAGTAGTAGTTATCTTGAAGGTCTTATTTGGATGAATTGTAGGATATTGCTCAAACACTACCAAAATAGAGATAGATTACAGACACACAGGTGAATAATTTGTGATTTATTATTGCTTATTATTAAAGTTTAAATTCCTTGTTCTTTAGTAAAGAAGAATAACATATTCATGACCTCAGCTCTCCTTCAAAGGAACACTGACAGCAAAAGTACAAAAGAAGGTAATTGTCGTTGCAATATTTATTGACTTGTGTTCCACAAAGACTTTCTTAAGATACAGAACAGATAAAAATGTCAATCCTCCTCATTGGTGAGTGAATGCTTTATGAGGTTCATAAGTTATTTATCTGAGGATGTATGTATCCTGCGTGCTCTGTTCTGAGCCTCTTCTCTGACTGCTTAAGGTTATATGAACTTGAGAGGAGTGACTGAATAGTCAAATCCCCCATTTCTGATACATGACTGAACAAGGATAAAATTCTGCTCCCAGAGAAGGCAATGAGGAATCCTTCTTGGCATCTGCAGGTGCAGGACTGAATTTGAAATATCAGCTGATGGATCTATCACAAAGCAGTGCTGATTTGTTTGAGTGTATGCATATATGTATGTATACACACGCGCACACACACATATATATTTGTGTATATATATGTATGTATGTGTATGTATTTGTATTACCCTTCTATTTTAATGGGGTAGCATGCTTGGTTTCAATGCAGAATTGTGTATTTTAGAAGAGATTAGCATTTCTTAGAACACATAGTAAGTAAAAAATAGCCGTGTTATTTAAGTGTGCTCTGAAATTTTTAGTTAAAGAGGCAAGACACACAGGTATGAATTAGATGGGAAGAAAAAGTCTTTATTTAAACACTTTGTTTTTGTTTGCAAGGATGCTTGTCACAAAATCAACTGTGGAATGTCATTAGACCTGCCATTTTACAGCCACCACAAGCCCGCACATGTCCTGAAAATCCCATAGCATCTCAAGCGACTGAGACCGGCGTACATGGTCAGGTAAAAAGAAAAGTGATTTTAATGTGATTTAATATACATGTTTGGAGTTCAATCAAATTAAAGACACTGTTGTTTTAAAGTAGTTATTTCACTGCAAGATTTCAAAGGAAGTTCCCGTATCAGTTTCAGTGGACACAATGAATTATTGACTAGAGTGGGACCAGTTGTACCAGTGCTGACAGTGTTTGAAAAACCTACCTTCTTGGCAGCCTGTCTCAACTTGCAGGTGCTCGGGTTCTGTGGGCAAATCAAGTTTGGAGGTCTTTTTGACTTTATTTTTTTTATAAAGTAACGTTTTAGCACATTGATTTAAAGGATATTCTTAAGGGTACTGGCTTAGCACACAGTGGGAGGAAGCTCTGCCAACTACCAGAGGTATATACCTCAGTGACTTTGGATTTCTAGCAGACCTGTTTATTGCAGGTTTATTAATTCATCTGCTTATATTATTCCTAGTTATCTGAAGACAGCTCTTATTCCTCAGCTGAGAATTCAGGAAGTTTGAAGACAGTGGCAAGGTCATCTATTACTGTGAATCTTTCTAGCCCTAAAACAATACGGTAAGATTTTTTTAATGTATTCCTGCACCACTTTGTCGTTTGGCCTGAGGCTTGCCCTTTCTTTCTACATAGCACTAAGCTCATGCTATCTACATCCACGCTGTGCTTACTGGTGTTTGTGTGCGGTGACAGGATTTGTGGGTGCTGCAATGAGTTCCATATGCCATAAGGAATAGACTCCTGCTGGTAATAATCTCTGTGGGACAGCTTGTCTCTCGTTAGCAACCCCCAAGCAAGAAGCTACTTTAGTTGGCCATCTCATGCAGCTTTGTCAGCTGAAAATACTGCTTGGTTTTGAATGTTTGTGATCATATTTGTGTCCCGTCAGAGAAGTCTCTTCTGATTGCATAGCTGCACCATCTCATTAATATTTTGGCTGCAGAGAAACTCAGGAGTTACCAGAATTTGTGAGTGTGTTGGACACAGGAGGCATGAAGAGAACCATACATTACTGATTGGAAGACATGGTGAATGCTGCAACTGGTCCCCTACTTCTGTAGGGGAATGCCAGAACTTATAGCCAGAATTTATAGAGTGAACAACTAGTGTGGTGTGATGGGGTTGTATCTTTGTGCAGACGCGGCCTTTAGAATTTCTGCATGAGGAAGCTGACTTGTCTGGACAGGTAGCCAGCACTTGACCTACACCCTGATGCCTTTGTAAGTGACTGAAAGAGCTCGTACTGATGCAAAAGTGTAAAAAAGGCAAAAGCTATTGCCTCTCTCTGGAGAATGGCTGCATGAGAATGCTACAGGTCTGTGACTAACTGGTTTAGTGTCAGCAGGTTCATGTGTGGGTATTGATACTGCTTCTTGATGCTTGATTAGAGGTTTTTACCTGGAAGTTGTGAGCATGAGGAATACGAATGGGACCAGTTAGTGATCGAAGAATGACGTTATCAGTAGCTGGGGCTACTGATAATAAATCTGTGATGTTGTCTCCTTTCCCCCTCACATCCAAAGAGCTGGGAGAGAACATGTTAACTGCAAGGGGTTCAATTCCAGTCTTCAGGGCCAGATGGATCACAGATAAAGGTTCTTGCACACAAATTTGCAATGCACAGTGCCAGGATTCTGAGAAGATGAGGGACTTTACGTGCTTGGGCAACTTGAATTCTTAATCCTTCTCAACAAGAAGAGTGTCGTTAGAGGGTAGATGCTCAGTATTACGTTGGAAGAGCCAGCCTGTCCCCTTCTGTCATAATTAAAGCTGTGATTATGCCCTATGAGGACAACGTGAAGCCACACAGCATGTTACATTTTTAGCAGATTCAGAATGATGGTAATATACGTATTGGAAAACCTGAAGGGAAGATGGTGCTGCCTTTCAAATCAGTTGATACCAATATTTCAAGCCCATTCACCTTCTGTCACCTGCACAGTATCTAGCAAAAAGTAGGTGAGTGACTTCTTTTGTGAAGTAAATGGATAGAGAAATGCTATGCAGTGTTTCGACATTGAAAAGTTACAGGACTTTAAAGTGCTTATGGTATTTCTTTTCTTTTAAAGGGGGTTTGCTAATCTGCATGGTGTATTCTGTGCCTGATTAATTTTATGTATCACAATTGTGGTAAATGCTAATGTATTTACTGAGTAAAATAATTTAAACATGAATAGGTGCTTACTGCTTTGCTGAGATTGCTGTGGGGAAGGTGTAAGTGCATTCTTTTGATCTGCAGAAAGTGCTTGTTGCTTTACAATACTTAAGTGAAATCTTTTTGTCATAGCTGTTTTCTCCCACGTAACTTGGCAACAACAAGTTTTTATTAAGCTGCATATAAATACAAAAAATAGGGAGCATTACCATAGCTTACAGTAATGAACTGAAGAGGAGAAATTTGCATAGTTTCTTGAGTCTGATTAAGAATATGGAAAGGAAATTGTGTCTTAAGTGACAGAAATGCAGTGCTAGGAAAATACAGGCTTCTGGTCCTGAATTCAACTTTGCACAAGGGTTTGCTTGGAAACCTGCAGGGGTTCGGGGCCAGCACTAGAACTAGCAGCTATTTAGATCACTCCTGACACTCTGAGAAGGAGGAGCTGAGTACCTGCGCTTACTCCCTTTCTGTAGTCTCTTTCCAGTATCTTATCCACAATTCTTCTCCCATTCTTCCTTGTTAGTGGTAGTTCCCTGAATTCTGTGCATCTGTTTTGCATCTCCTTGGCGATGTCATCATGGCATACTTTGTTCTTGCCCTGCAGCAACATAAGGGTATTGAGGTTTCAGTGAGACTCTAAGGCTGGCACTTTCTCTTTGACTGCAAAAAGACAGATCCTGCACTGATTACTTATGGAAGGATTCAAGGCTGATAAAGAGACTGATTATCTGATTTTTATTTTTCCTCTTAGTCTTAGCAACCCATCAAACACAGGGATGTTAAGAAACAGTTGTTCCCATAAGTGTAAAATGGAGGAAGCCTGTACCTGGAAATTCCTTCATCCTGTGTGAAGAGATTTCAAGAACACTGTGTTTGTGAACATAGAAGCTTAGTTTTAGAGATGGATCATCAAAGTTCTGCCAGCTAACCCAGCTGATTAACAAGAATGTTCTTTGCATGACACAACTGCCTATAAACTCTCCCAAAGGTGATGAACAATCTGGAAGAGGCTTGATAAGCTGTGCTAAAGTATACAGTTTGTGGCAGAACATCAGATCATCTTCTTGCCAAGTCATCTTTCTGGAGCAGAAGGAGGTTAAGAATTTGAATGGTGTAGACTTTGTCAGCAAGAGAGGCAGTGAATAAGCTCTAGAGAAATCATGAACAACCTGTCGTCATTCTTTTGTCCAACTTCTGTCAAAAAATAGGACCAGAATCGACTTCCACAAAAGGAGGTTTACAACGACTTTTCTAGTGACTTTTACAAAAAAGGGATCATGTTCATTTGAAGTGACTGTATGATTAGCGAGATCAAATGATAACTCTGTTAATATTGTATATTCTTGAATGTAATACACAACTAATATACTTTTTGCAAGTTGTGACAGTGTCGCTATTTAAAAAACAAAGACCCTCTTCTTTTGAAATCTCCTGAGAGGAAAGAGGCTAAACTGAGTGTAGTTAAATTTAGGGTGACAACGCAAAAACATTTAGTGTTTTTCACCTGGCTATCCTGAGACAATGAGAAGGAAAAAAAAGGCAGGAGGGAAGGGGAAGAAGAGCAAGTGTTGTTTTACCTAGCTTCTGCCAGAACAAGTCCACTCAAGGAACTCCGAATCCTAGCCATGATGCAATCTTTCTACCACATGAAATTTCTCTCAGATCTGTAACCTCAAACTGTATTTCGTCAACACCAAAGGATTGTGAATATTTAGTTGTGTTCACTTTCTGTGTGATAGAACAGATCATTGAAAAATGTAAAGATCTCTTTCCTATTTTAGGTATGCCTCATTATGAGCCATCTTCTATCATCCCTTTACATTTTTGCAGGATTTATGTGAATATATGTGGAGTTAGTGTTCATTAAAATACACTGCCTGTCTGCCTTTCCAAGCTGTTAGGTGGAGGATGGAGTGCCTGTGGGGCACTGGGGAGTAGGTTATTCTGAAGGACACTGGAGCTGCACCAACATGGAAGGGTA